GCGCGGTGGCTCAAGCCTGTAATCCCAGCACTTTGGGAGGCCGAGACGGACGGATCACGAGGTCAGGAGATCGAGACCATCCTGGCTAACACGGTGAAACCCCGTCTCTACTAAAAAATACAAAAAACTAGCCGGGCGAGGTGGCGGGCGCCTGTAGTCCCAGCTGCTCGGGAGGCTGAGGCAGGAGAATGGCATAAACCTGGGAGGCGGAGCTTGCAGTGAGCTGAGATCCGGCCACTGCACCCCAGCCTGGGCGATAGAGCAAGACTCTGTCTCAACAAAAAATAAATAAATAAATAAAGAGGTCAAAGTGGGCCCTTGCCATCTTCTGTTCCTGGGTGGGATCACAGAACTGGTTGAATGACATGACGAGATTACCATTCTGGGTGGCACTAGCTGAATGCAGGGTCTGAAAGATACCCTGAGCACCAATCTTAGATTTTACAATAGTGATGTTATGGGGAGATTTGCGATCTTGTGGCCTCTGGCTACAAGACTCCTAAACCATAATTTCTAATCTCATGGCTAATTTGTTAATCTTACAAAGGCTGTCTGGTCCCCAGGCAAGAAGGGGTTTGTTTTGCAAAAGGACTGTTGTTTTTGTTCCAAAGTTAAACTATAGATTGCAGGTCGGGCGCGGTGGCTCACACCTGTAATCCCAGCACTTTGGGAGGCCGAGGCAGGCGGATCATGAGGTCAGGAGATGGAGACCATCCTGGCTAACACAGTGAAACCCCATCTGTACTAAAAATACAAAAAAATTAGCCGGGCATGGTGGCAGGTGCCTGTAGTCCCAGCTACCTGGGAGGCTGAGGCAGGAGAATGGCGTGAACCCAGGAGGCAGAGCTTACAGTGAGCCAAGATCCCACCACTGCACTCCAGCCTGGGCAACAGAGCGAGACTCTGTCTCAAAAATAAATAAATAAAAACAAATTCCTTCCAAAGCTAGTTCAGCCCACGTGCAGGAATGACCAAGGGCAACTTGGAGGTTAGGAGCAAGCTGGAGTTGGTTAGATTAGGTCCGTTTCATTGTCATGATTTTGTCACTCATAATTTTTGCACGGTGGCCTCAGAAGGACTTGGAGCAAGCCCTAACAGCGTTTACCTCTGGGATAGGGACCTTTAGGTTTTAAATAGATTAGAGCTATAATGGTGACTTCTACATTGACATATTTTCTCATCAATATTTGGAAGATAAAAAATCAGCACAAAATACTGTACTCTATTAGCTCAGTTTTCAGATAAAGACTCCACACGTATATGGAAAGTAAGCGACGAGGAATGGGTCTCTTGTGGGGGAGAACAATTATTCCAAGAGATGGCTCATGACAGATAACCTGCTGGCATGTTCCCAAATCCCTCACTCCCGGTGTAGCCCAGCAGCACGTCATTCCTGCACAACCCAAGACTTCCCTCTAGCCCCTGCCTCTTTGTAGACGGCCCCTCCTCTGCTGGGCTGCCCGTTGGACCCTTGCAACTTATCTTCTGCTTTCCCTCTAATAAATCTGCCTTTTTTCTCCCCCATGGCTGTCTTAGTAAATTCCTTTACCGCCTGCCACACCAGCCATAGCCAGTTGTACCCGCGACATTTTGGTAGCCCGTATGGGAAGTGCTCGGGGACTGCTTCGGGAGTCCTCCCCTCCTGTGTCCCTTTCTTCTCCAACTCCAGCCTCTCAGTGGACAGCGCCCAAGCCTGGAGACAGCTGAAGGTCCCCAGCTAGGTCTACTCCCTAATGGATCAGAAGGTCCCGGTGGAGAGATGCCCGATTCAGTAAAAGTTTAGAGTCTTGCCTTCCTTTTCAGTCTTCCAGGGGACAAATTCTAGTATCCCTCTGACAATCCATGCCACTGGCTAGGGCCACTCCTTTGTGTAGCCTGGAGGCCAAGGGGTAAACAGGTTTGGCTACCTTGCTGGGAAGGGAGGAAGGCCCCTCCTATCCTTTCTAGCCAAAAGTTCACAATCCCTACATGTAGTGCCACTGGCAGCGGAAGCTCAACCAGGGTAAACCTACACACATTTTGGGAAACTCAGAGCCCCCCTTTCTTATGCTAAATTCTCCCGTGAAGACAGCAGCCACGCTGCTCCGGACCTCTTAAGGCAGGTGATCCCAAACAGCACCAGGGCTAATTCAACAGTTTCACCTTCAGATGATGCTGCGGATGGAATATCAGTCTCCCAGTGATGCCAGCTACCTTTACAAGGCATCTCCCCTGGATGCAGCTGGACATCAGTTTCACCTTGACAGGCTGCCCTTCTCCAACAAGTCCCTTTCTCCACCAAGAGCCAACATCCTAGGCCTCACAACCCGGGACAGTGACCCACAGGGTCTCCTGACAGACCAACAGGCATAGGTAGGGTCAACTCTACGCCTCAGGCCAGCAGGAAGTAGCTGCAAATGAAACTGCCACCCCAGTGCCAAAGCTTTGGCATTGTTCAGTTAGAGGGGGAATGTGGAGTCCTGGTAAGCTATGCTAGCAACAACAGGGAAGGGGTCCCAGGTGAGGGAGAGCAAGTATTCCAAGAGAAGGCTAATCAGACAACCTGTAGACACAACATCCCATTCGTTCCACATGCGGCCCCCTCCAGCATGACCCTGTAAGACTTCCCTCAAGCCCCTGCCTCTTTGCAAGCAGCCCCTTCTCTGCTGTGCTGCCCATTGTACCCTTGCAACATGTCTTCCTACTTTTGAGAAAGGGTCTGGCTCTGTCACCCAGGCTGGAGTGCAGTGGTACCGTCTTGCCTCACTGCAACCTCTGCCTCACAGGTTCAAGTGATCCCCACCTTAGCTTCCCAAGTAACTGGGACTGTAGGCACCAGGCACCACTCCTGGCTAATTTTTAAATTTTTGGTAGAGGAGGATTTTGCCATGTTGCCCAGGCTAGTCTCGAACTCCTGAGCTCAAGCGATCTGCCTGCCTCCACCTTCTGAAGTGCTGGGATTACAGGTATGAGCCACCACGCCCAGGCCATATTCTCCCTCTAATAAATCTGCCTTTCCGCACAACTATCTTGGTGAATACCTTTATTGCTTGTGATTCTAGCCCCAGCCAGTCACACCCAAGACAATAGGTATATTTGTATATATTTACATTTCTAGATATGTCTCCAGTTATTAAACATTTAATAATGACATGGTGGCTGACACCTGTAATCCGAGCACTTTGGGAGGCCAAGACAGGTGGATTGCTGGAACCCAGGAGCTCGAGACCAGCCTGGGCAACATAGTGAGACCCCTATCTTTACAAAAAATACAAAAAATTAGCCAGATGTGGTGGCTCATGCCTGTAGTCACAGCTACTCAAGAGGCTGAGGTGGGAGGATCACTTGAGCCCAGGAGGCAGAGATTGTGCCACTGCACTCCAGGCTGGATAACAGAGTGAGAATCCCATCTCAAAAACAAAACATAAAAACATTTAAGAAAACTTTGTGCTGTGCAGTCTGATGTATTTTTCACCTACATTCTCCTGCTTTAAAAGAGTAATTTGTACATAAAAACCCCTCCTAGGATGAATTCTCCTGAGTGGAGAATATAATTGCCATTAATTCCAGTGGAAAAATTTGTATGCACACCTTAGTCCCTAAACACACACTCATTTATCCTAAAACACCATAAACCCATTAAAATGGACACAGATAATTGACCTCCACTAACACAGCACAACATAAGGTCTCTTAATTACCCTATAAAATGGCTGTCTACATACATTAAGCTGTTCATGCATTGCTATAAATACCTGAGGCTGAGTAATTTATAAAGGAGAGAGGATTTGTTTGTTTGTTTTTGTTTTTTAAGATGGAGTCTCACTCTCACCCAGGCTGGAGTGCAGTGGCATGATTTCGGCTCACTGCAACCTCGACCTCCCGGTTTCAAGTGATTCTCCTGCCTCAACTTCCTGAGTAGCTGAGATTACAGGCACCCACCACCATGCCCGGCTAATTTTTGTATTTTTAGTAGATACAGGGTTTCACCATGTTGGCCAGGCTGGTCTCGAATTCCTGACCTCAGGTGTTCCGCCTGCCTCAGCCTCCCAAAGTTCTGGGGTTATAGGCGAGAGCCACCACACCCGGCCAAGAAAAGAGATTTACTTGGCTTGTGGTTCTGCAGACTGACTTCTGCTCAGCTTCTGGGGAGGCCTCGGGAAACTGACAGTTACAGCGGAAGGTGAAGGGGGAGCAGGCACATCGTGTGACAAAATTAGGAGCAGGGTGAGGGGGTGCCACACACTTCCAAACAACCAGCTCTCACAAGAACTATCTTGAGGACAGGACCAAGCCTTGAGGGGTCCTCCCTCATGACCGAAACACCTCCCAGCAGGCCCCACCTCCAACATTGGGGATGACATCTCAGCATGAGACTTGGACAGGGACAAATACCAAACTCTATCACTACACTTCTCCAGGCCTTTCGGAGCTGCATTGTACACTTGAGACTATACTACCAAAGAAAGCATATTTGACATCCATCGTTCACATAAGAGAACGCTTTATACAAAAAGGTAAAGTAATAGAGGCAGAAAAGTCAATGGAAACAATGCAAGGAGTGCCAGGGTTGTCAGTATAAGCTAAAAAAAAGTTACAAATGCTAAGAACTTCACACACCCCACTCTACGACTAGGAAGGTGACCACAGGGGTTACTCTTACCTCAGCTGCATGTTCCCAAGGCTCTAAAAATCCAGATTTTTTTTTTTTTTTTGAGATGGAGTCTTGGTCTGTCACCCAGGCTGGAGTGCAGTAGCACAATCTCAGCTCACTGCAACCTCCCTCCCCCAGGTTCTAGTGATTCTCCTGCCTCAGCCACCCCCCACCCCCCCAAGTAGTTGGGATTGCAGGAGTGTACCACCACACCTGGTTATTTTTAGTAGAGATGAGGTTTCACCATGTTGGTCAGACTGGTCTCCAACTCCTGACCCTCAAGTGATCCACCCACCTCTGCCTCCCAAAGTGCTGGGTTTATAGGAATGAGCCGCCACGCCTAGCCTCTGATCAGAACTTTTTTCTTAGAAACAAGAATTCACTATTTGAGGGTGGGGGGGAAAAAAAAAGGTATGCTGCTACTGCAATTTAGCCACCGCTGTTTGGTGGCTAGCCTCTTCTCTCTCTTCAGCAATAGTAAGTCGGATGCCCTTTCTCCTGGGCAGGGAAATCCAAGGTTTACTGCCATTGCCAATGACAAAAATGTTGGACAGCCTCGTGGCAAAGCTGTTGCCACTGGCGTCCCTCACATGCACACTGAGCGATCCAGGATGTCTTTCCCTGTTGGTGGTCACACCAACATGACTGATGCTGGCTCCACCAATCACCATACAGACATTGCCTGTGTGGAATTTGATAAAGTTGATTATCTTGCCAGTCCCTAAATCAATCTTCACAGCATGGTTCACCTTGATGAGAGGATCTGGGTAGTGGATGGTCCCAGTATCATGAGTCACCAGGTGTGGGATTCCTTTCATCCCCACAGTGCTCTTCCTCCCTTTGCACAGGTTGTACTTTGCCTCTTCCACTGGGATGCAGTAAACAGCAAAACAGCCCTTGGTGTCATAGACGAGGCAGAAATGCTCCCCTATCTTCTCAATACCAATGACATCCATAAATCCAGCAGGGTATGTGGTAGCCACTCGAACCTTGCCATCAATTTTGATGAAGCACTGCATACGTATCTTCTTTACCTCATCTCCAGTCAACGCGTACTTGAGTTTATTCCGAGAAGACGATCAGGGGAAGACATTCCCTAAGCTTGTGGGGATCTGTCGATGGACGAAGTGCAAATACACCTGTTAGTTTGTTGAGCATCAGTGCTTCGGCACTGCAACACACTTCAGGTGCTTCTTAGGGCCCTATGGTGAAACCCTGCGACGGAAGATCACAGCTCTTTTTAAGTGCCTTGTAATCCTCATAAACCACAGTGCTTTTAGATGAAACTCCTCTTAAAGACAAGTTCTTGCAGCCTGGGCATATCTCAAGATGTAACTGTACTTCATCTAATCCTCACACAAGCCTAGGAGGCAGTGGTTTTTGCCTTACTGGTGAGGCAGCCAGCCAAAAGCAGCAATGCCAAGAACAACAAAACCCAGCTCATCGAGTGTATTTCCAGTTGAGACCTCTTCCTGTTCGACTCCGAGTCCATGCTCACTGTATTTGGCCCTACAGCCCATTTTTATCCTGGTATTTTAGAGATTTTTTTTTTCACTTGATAGATGTTTTTCATGACCAAACTGCGTATTGGGTTATGTCTTTATTTGTAAGTCTGAAGTTGGGACTCAACTATTTTGGCCTCGGGCTGATGTGGCTGAATCTAACTGGCCTCCACATACTGTTGGTAAATCCAGGACAAGTCAGAAGGGGAATGAGGCCAGGGCATCCCAGGCTGCAGGCATAAGACTTGCAATGGTGTAGAAATAAGATGCTAGGGGTCCCCAGCATGGGTGACAGAGGGATTTTGTGGGAGGTAGATGAAGGCTTAGCTGGTGCCACACATTCACCACCCTTGGCCACAGTCTGCCATTGTTACCTCCAGTTGTGTGGCTGACAGAGCCCTGCCCCGCCAGGAGCTGGCCTGGGAAGTCAGGGGCCTGTGGCATCCTGAGACCTCATTTGGGTATAGTTTCTCTTGGGTCAACTGCACATCTGATGGTCCTACTGGCCCAAGTAGGACTAGACCCTTAGGACCTGGTCTCCACTAGGAGGCTTCCAGTTTCACACTCTGTGCTCTGGTGTTTTGAGAGGGAAAGCACCCATGAGCCTGTCCTACTGAGCCATAACCAGTGGGACGCTTCCAGGACCCCTGTGCTTGATGCTGCAGCTCTCAGCTCATCGTTAGTGGCCTTCTTGGCCTCAGATCTCCTCTCCTCCTGGCCCTGGAGGGCAATTTTTTTGTTTTGTTTTTTGTTTTTGTTTTGGCGGGAGATGGAGTCTTGCTGTCACCCCAGCACTGGAGTGCAGTGGCTCACCGTAACCTCCGTCTCCTAGGGTCAAGTGATTTTCCTGCCTCAGCCTCCTGAGTAGCTGAGATTACAGGCACACACCTCCATGCCTGGCTAATTTTTAGTAGAGATAATGTTTCACCATGTTGGTCAGGCTGATCTCCATCTCCTGACCTCAAGCGATCTGCCCGCATCGGCCTCCTAAAGTGGTGGGATTACAGGTGTGAGCCACTGCGCCCAGCCCTGCAGAGAAGCTTCTACCTCAGACACTGAGTAATTTCTCATGTAACACACGTGTGAGTGAAAAAATCTCCCGAACAAACGCTAGCTTTTCTGAGGACTGTCAGAATGTGAAACAAAAGACAACAAAGCAGACATGCCTATGAAGGTTAGCATGACTTGCGTGCCAGAGCCTGCAGATGGGGACTCCAAATTTCAGCCACTAGAAAGTAACAAGAACACAGAAGCCAAGGAGAGGTCCTGCCCATGGCTGTTAGCACTAATCGTGGAAGTGGATGTGGGATCTTCACTCCTGTTGGGCACCGACTATGAAGCAGGCACAGGAGGCTGCTGGGCGACACACTGGTGAACAAGATGACTGACAGAAGGGCCCTGTCCGCAGGGGGATTCCACCTTAGCAGTACATCCCAGGAGCAGACACAAAACCCGAGTAGAGGGCAGGCCATGTGACAAAGCCAGAAACACATGAGGGCCAAGCCTGCCCATGAGAAAATATGAAGCCCTTGGAGGGTTCAGAGTTAACAGCAGCATCAGGCTGGGCATGGGGCTCTTGCCTGTAATCCCAGGACTTTGGTAGGTCAAGACAGGAAGATCCCTTTAACCCAGGAGTTCAAGACCATCCTGGGCAACATAGCAAGACCTTGTCACTCCAAAAAAAAAAAAAAAAAGGCACCATCTGCATTTTAAAAAGTAGGTGAGCTTGGCCAAGCGCGGTGGCTCATGGCTATAATCCCAGCACTCTGGGAGGCCGAGGTGGGTGGATCACCTGAGGTCAGGAGTTCAAGACCAGCCTAACATGGCAAAAACCCCATCTCTACTAAAAAAAAAAAAAAAAATTAGCCAGGAGTGGTGGTGAGAACCTACTACTGTAATCCCAGCTACTTGGGCCGCTGAGGCAAGAGAATTGCTTAAACCTGGGAGGCAGAGCTTGCAGTGAGCCCAGATCGCACCACTGCACTCCAGCCTGGGCATCAGAGCAAGACTCTCTCAAGAAAAAACAAAAAACACACACAAAAGTAGGTGAGCTTGATACTAATCAGGAAGAGAATTTGGGTAAAGTTGCCCAGGAGTAGAAACCCCCACTTAGGAAGAAAAGCTAAAAGATGGAGTTCTGCCAGCTCAAGGCAACCACTTCAGTTGCTTTCAGTAACACCCCTTCAAGCAGGAAACAAGTGTTTTTTTTTGTTGTTGTTGGTTTTTTTTTTTTTTTTTTTTGAGACGGAGTCTTGCTCTGTCGCCCGGGCTGGGTACCCAGTGGCCGGATCTCAGCTCACTGCAAGCTCCGCCTCCCGGGTTACGCCATTCTCCTGCCTCAGCCTCCCGAGTAGCAGGGACTACAGGCGCCCGCCACCTCGCCCGGCTAGTTTTTTGTGTTTTTAGTAGAGACGGGGTTTCACTGTATTAGCCAGGATGGTCTCGATCTCCTGACCTCGTGATCCGCCCGTCTCGGCCTCCCAAAGTGCTGGGATTACAGGCTTGAGCCACCGCGCCCGGCAGTTTTTTTTTTTTTTTTTGCCGGTTTTTTTTTTTTTTTTTTTTGAGACCGAGTATCACTCCCAGGCTGAGGTACAATGGCACAATCTCGGCTCACTGCAACCTTGGTCCCCTGGGTTCAGGTGATTCTCCTGCCTCAGCCTCCCAAGTAGCTAGGATTACAGGAACCTGCCACCATGAGCGGCTAATTTTTGTATTTTTAGCAGAGAGGGTGTTTCACCATCTTGGCCAGGCTGGTCTTGAACTCCTGACCTACTGATCCGCCCGCCTCGGCCTCCCGGAGTGCTGGGATTATAGGTATGAGCCACTGCACCTAGCCAACAAGTGCTTCCTTCTATCTGGTGCTGACAGGTGGCAGTTGGAAGCCATACTCTGAGGATCCAGGTCACTCTGATTACTCCTGTGTTTCTAGAGTAGTTTCCAGTGTCTTGCGGGGCTGCCCCGGTCCACCTGTGTCCAGCCCATCCAGATTTTCCATCGTTACTCACTCCCACTTCCAAACCCTGGAATCAAGCCTGGCCAACATGGTGAAACCCCATCTCTACTGAAAACACAAGAATTATCCAGGTGCAGTGGCATACACCGGCAACCCTAGCACTTTGGGAGGCAGCAGGCAGGTGGATCACTTGAGCTCAGGGATTTGACACCAGCCTGGCAACATAGTGAAATTTGTCTCTGCAAAAAATAAGCTTAGCATAATAGCACTTGCCTGTAGTTCCAGCTACTCAGGAGTCTGGGGTGGGAGGATTGCTTGAGCCCAGGAGGTTGAGAACCATGTTCCTACCACTCCACACCAGCCTTGGGGACAACGTGAGACTGTCTCCCCAAAAAAAGAAAAAACAAAAAAACCCTCAAAGAAAAGAAAGGCCTAGAACCAGATTCCCAAAAACCCATTAGGAGTGGTTGCACAGGCTGCCCCCAGGAGGGCTAGCGCTTCCATTCTGTGGGACTGATGCTGTGTGAGAAGACAGCATCCCCAGAGGCCTATGTCCCTGCAGATTGCTAAAGGCATCACTGCGAGTGAGAAGAATGGGCAGCAGATGGAGGCTGGGACAGAGTCCAGGAATGTGAAGGGCATAGGGAAGACTGCAGTGGTGGAAATCAAGCCAGGCTTTTTCTGCATTCAGCCTGGCTGGGTCAGCTGGTTTGGCTCTGCCGGCCCAGGAGCAGCCTGAAGAGGGGGCACAGGATGGTCAGGTCTGGGCAAGGAAAGGGCAGCTGAGAGGTTCCCTGGTGAGATACCAGCATCCCTGAGGGGCAGCCATTTAGCAGAATGGGTGATCACAGCCGGTGGACACATGACCCCCTGCAGTGGGTCTGCCGCTGGGGATACTCAGTGGTGGCTCCATGTGGTCTCAGGAGGCCCAATGCTGATCAGAACCACACTCTTAACAGTAGTGGCAGGACTAGTGTGGGAAAAAGAGAGATCAGCCTGTTACTGTGTCTGTATAGAAAAAAGTAGACATAAGAGACTCTATTTTGTTCTGTATTTGAGATGCTGTTAATCTGTGACCCTACCCCCAACCTTGTCCTCGCAAGAGACGTGCTGTGGTGACTCAAGGTTTAAAGGATTTTGGGCTGTGCAGGGTGTGCTTTGTTAAACAAGTGCCTGAAGGCAGCTTGCTGGTTAAAAGTCATCACCATTCTCTTAATGTCAAGTACACGGCCAAAGGTCGCAGGGACCTCTGCCTAGGAAAGCTAGGTATTGTCCAAGGTTTCTCCCCATGTGATGGTCTGAAATGTGGCCTCGTGGGAAGGGAAAGACCTGATCGTCCCCCAGCCTGACACCCGTGAAGGGTCTGTGCTGAGGAGGACTAGTACAAGAGGAAAGAAGGCATCTTGGCGGTTGTTGGCAGTTGTGATAGAGAAAAGCATCTGTCTCCTGCCTGTCCCTGGGCAAAGGAACCCAATTGTGTGTTCTGTTTACTGAGAAAGGAGAAAACCGCCTTAGGGTGAAAGGCGGGACTTGCTAGCGCAATGCTGCTCTTTATGCACTAAAAAGGTTTATGGAGACGTTTACATATGCATATCAAGGCACAGCACTTTTCCTTAAACTTATTCATGTCACAGAGATCTTTATTCATGTCTTTCTGCTGACTTTCTCCCTACAATGATCCTATTATCTTGCCACTTCCTTTTCTTTAAGATGGTAAAGATAATTATCAATAAATACT